TCTCTCTCTCTCTCTCTCTCTCTCTCTCTCTCTCTCTCTCTCTCTCTCTCTCTCTCTCTCTCTCTCTCATAGTCTGCTGATGCAGTGAAGTCAGAAATTGAGAGGGTGAGAGGGAGATGGTGGACTGAGAAGAGGAAGAAAAAGAACTCTCTCTCTCTCATATGCCAGGTACTAACCTGTGAAGGTGGCGCTGTGCTGCAGGTACCTTGAAGACGAAGCTGGAGCGATGGCGCTGCAGGTAAGTCCCTCTGGCCTCCGCCCAATCTCTCTCCCTATAGTACTACTCTAGCTATGGCGCCCAGCGCTGAAGACTACAGCTAATGCTACTATCGCCCAGCGCTGAAGACTGCAGCTAACGCTACTAGCGCCCAGCGCTGAAGACTACTGCTAACGCTACTACTACTGCAGCGCTCCTCCAGAGTGCCGAATCCTGAAGACTACCTCCTGCCTCCTGAACTGCACGTGAAGTGCCGGGGAAGTACCTAGGAACTACCTGCAACCTGCAGGGCGGGCCAGTCCTTTATAGTGCTGGCCCGTCCAGGAGGCTGCTCTTGCCAATGCCAAAACGTGCCAGACCCTGGGGTTGAAGCTCAAACGAAGGTTGTCTTGAAAATATGCCAAAAATGGCCTGAGCTAAAACCCTGGTTTGGTGCCTGAGTTTCGGGGCAGGCCGAACTCACGAGGGCCCGGAGATGGCCCTCAGTTTCAGGCTGAAAACACTCAGGGCCGGAAAGGTCCTGATTTAGCCTGAAACGACACAGGGCCTGTAGGCCCTTGTTTTCAGGCTTTTGGCCTGAAAACGTCACGGGCCTGGGAATGGCCCGTGCAGCCTGTTGCAGGCGCAGCATGTAACACACCTCACATATTTTTAACTGGCATTCTGCCATGTCATGGAACATGTCTTTCTTTCAATACCTATCTACCAAAGGGGCAAACATGTCGTTACCTCTCTCCACCGAGAGAGGTAACCTCCCTTCACCGAGGAGAGGTAGAAAGCTATACTCAGGGGTCCCCTGTATACCCTTAGGAGTAGTGGTCGGTGCAATCAGACTCGCTATCTTTCACACTTCACATGTACGCAAACAGGTGCACAGCAAACTGGCGACAAGCGCCCACTCAAAACTCAGAGATATGGTAGCCGAGAACACAGTTCAGATACAAGTTCACTTCAATGGCTATGGCGACACAGCGCCCACTCAACTCTCTGTTCGCACACACAGGATCACCCTGGATATCCCACACGCGTTACTCTGTACACACATACACACACACTGCACGCTATCTACAGCTACAGCGGCTATGGCCGCTGCTACCCTATCGCTATGGCTAAGCTCCTTCTCTCTCGCCCACTTCGTCCTCGGGCTCACTGCAGACTACCTCCCACAAGTCGCTGTGGCAGCGCTTCCGCATGGCTCACGCAGGAATGAATGAAGGCGCCCACCTTCATGGCTGCCTGCTGCCCGCTGCTGCTCCCTGCCACTGCTTCGAGCCGTTCTTGTCCAGTCACTGCCGTCCATCGATGGTGCTCCATCGTGTCTCTCCCTCCCTCCTTCGTCGCCCTCGGCGTGTCCCTCCCTCCCTGCCCTGCCGTGTCCCTCCCTTCCTCCTTCGTCCACCGTGTCCCTCCCTCCCTCCTTCCCGCCGCTGCTCAAACACCTTCCCACCGCTGCTCCAGAATATTCCTGCCGCTGCTCTAGCATCTTCCCGCCGGTGCTGTCCCCGTTTTCGAAAAAGTTTTTTGGGGGAAGGGCCTGCCGAATTCGAATTTTCGAATTCGGCAGGCCCTTCCCCCCCAAAAAAATCCCCAGGCGGGGCGCGACCGGTTTGCCGAGTGGCGCGGCCCAATCGTCATTTTTGCCGTGGTGGGACCCCGCCGTCCTACCGAAAGCCCAAAAAAAAAAAAAAAAATTCAGCCACCCCTATTTATCGACGTGCGCGGCATGGCGGTGCGCGGTGCAATGTGCGCAAACCGTGCGCAAACCGGCACACCGACATGCGCCGCAACTATGCATTAAAGACTGTTTTTATTTGGGAGAGGGGTTGTGTATCAAAGTATGGGCTGATCTGACAGCTAGTCCTTCTTTCAAGGAAGCAATCACTGCTGTCAGGGTTCCTAGGGCCGTAACATGGGGAAGCATGTTGCTGTCTTCTGATTGTGATTTTTTTTCAGAAAGGGATGCTGGGACCGGTTGCCAGCACGTACTGCTCCCCGCGAATAGACTGGATCTGCATTCTTTTTGGTTTTCTTTTTAAAAAAAGGGAAAGGGAGGAGGTGCATGGGGAATGGTGGCAGAGAAGGTGGGGGGGGGGCCGTTGGGGGGGCCAGGAAGTGGGGGGAAAAGGAAGGAGAGAGGAAGAGCAGGAGGACATAGCCCGTGCCATTTCAGAAATGCCAGCAAAAAGGAAACTACTGACCTAAGTGGTAGAAAACGTAAAAAAAAAAAAAAAAAAAAAAAAAAAAANAAAAAAAAAAAAAAAAAAAAAAAAACAGGGCCTTATGGTCCTGGCTCCTTCCATTCTGGGGAGCATCAGTCCGGTTCCTATTCCGTCGGCAAGCCAGAAAATTATTACGATAAGAATCACGCACGCTTCCTCCCGTCTGGCCGAAGGACCCCTGAGCAGCATTGATTGCTCCACCTTGGTGGAGGATTGACTGCCAGCTTGCCATGTCTCGCTCTTCCCTCTCAGACCTAGTAACCAGATTTCCCAGATAGTTCCATGTCCCTTAGAAGGAGCTCAACTCTTAGAAGGAGCTCAACCCTTGACCAAGCTAGCCTCTATGTCCTCAGTTGCCCTTCTTGTCCATGGGCCGCAGTGATCTCTGCCCCACTTTTCCTTCCCCTTGATTAAAAACACTAGAACCCTAACCCCTAAGCCCTCATCAGGAAGCCATTAAACCTTGCTGACACCTTGCCTGTTTCCTTTAAGTGGAGCGTAACTGTCTTCCGTTGTAACCTTACTCCAGCATTCTCAGGTCCATACAACCTATCTGCCTGCAAAAGGGCTATGACGGCGCTTACCATTGAGGCTCATACTTCAARGATTCTTTTTCATACGGAAGTATCGTCCTAARCCCTAAACCCTCTCTTTGCAGTGCCCTAGCTGGCCGCTCCACCGGTTCCATCTGTCCTCCAATCTTGTCCTTCCTTTCCGAACCCCCAGTCATTGGCTCTGAACGCAGAGATGGTATCATACCCTGAGCCCCCAATCCCTCTTGAGTTTGTGTCCTAGCTATGCTGCCCCCATACGTGTTCCCCTGTCTGTCTCTGACTCCGCCGCCTCCCTGACTCTTGGCGCTCGGTCACCCGTCTCTGAACTTGAACCAATCTTTTCCGCTTCCTGCCGAATCTCCGCACCCTTCCCTTTCAGCAGCCATAGCCTGTTAGGGGCTGACTGGCCCTTAGACCCTAAGTTCTTCCCTCTTCCTCGTAGAGTTCTGGTCACGAGGAATTCTGACCCCCCACTGTTGTAGAACGTTGCCCCCTCTTGTCTGAAGTCGAGTTATGCCAGTCCTTCCAGCAAATGCGGTCTTCTCGTATCTCCGCCACGTTTCCGCTTACTAACCAGAGCCTGCTGAATCTCGTTCTCACCTTCTTTTGCTGGTCTTCGTCCACCGGCCATGATTGTTTGGCTTTCTGCCATCTGCAGAGAATTTCGGCTTGTATCATCGTTTTCATCTCAGCCCATACCTTCTCTCGTGAGTTGGGAAGTCCTTCGATGGTTCTGCTGCATCTTTCCATCCAGATAACCCACAAGGTCGCCTTTCTGATAAGCCCAAACCACATCCTTTCTGTCTTCTGGAGCTGTTCGGGAATGTTAGTCAAGAGAAGAAGTTGGATGGGTTGTTCAGGGAAGGGGGTCGGGAATAGGGAGTCCCAGAGGGCCGAAGCCCTCGCCCAGTAGTCCATCGCCTCCCTGCAGTGTACTTGGCAGTGTGTTATGTCCTCTATGGCCCCCTCTGTGCAGACTGTGCATAAATCCGAACTGTTGGGATCTGAACCCTGTCACCTGATGTGTAACCATTGATTCAGTGGAAGGGCTGCATAAGTAATGAGCCATTGGAGGCTCTTAATTTTGATTGGTCTGATAGATTTGAACTTCTTCCAAGGGATCTGTGTGAGCTTATCAGCCTCTTGGCCCAGTAACTTCTGCCATCTTTTTTTAATAATGGGGTTGGGATCTTTGGTTTTCAAGAAAAGTCTAAGCCCCAATTTAACTGTGTATTCGTGAACTGGGACATTGGACCTGATGTTCTTGGTCTTATAGAAAACATTTTTCTTTTCCTTCGGAGAATTTTGGACTATTTCTCGATTTATGTGTCATTCTTGCGCAGAGGGCATGCTAATCTTCTGCTTATCGTCCCAATTTAAAGGGATGTCCCGAAGGACTACATGGTAGAGACTGCCACAAAGTCAATGGAAAAATTCCAGAAGGGAGACAAGAAGAGAAAGAGAGAATGACAAGTGTTGGCAACATACAGAGTCTCTGGATATCAGAACCGTTACACTCAGCAGACATGAGCTGTCACAAACAATTTTTTTTTCCTTTTTTTTTAAAATAAACTGTCGCTGAAACGGTTTTCACCTTTGCAGTCACAGATGCGGATCCCAGGGCTCGATCCCCAGACCTTACCTTACCTCACTTTACCTGTGTACAGCATCGAGTCGACCCTGTGTGGCTTGAACCCGTGACCTGTGTGTTAGTAATTGAAAGTTGTCTGTCGTAGGTCTGAGTAGTTGTCGGGTCTTGAACCTTAGACCTGTCGAAGTAGGAGTCATATCTGCATAGGGGTCATAGTTGTTGTAGTTCTGAAAGGTCAAGGTCGTAGCTGCTACAGTCCCGAAAGGTCAAGGTCGTAGCTGGTAAAGTCCTGAAAGGCCAGATCCGCAAACTTCCGGAAGGTCCGGAAGTGGCCTTTCAAGTTTCTTCTCACGTTATACACAGTGACCACAGGCAAGTGGGGAAGTGGTGAGTCCAACTTCGCTTAGTCAGCGGTACCCAGTCCCAGTCTCACTTTGTACAGTCAGCAAGTACCATGAGGGACTGTGTGCACCATGGGCCCGGTGGAAAAGGGCAGACCAACGATCTACAGAAGTATAAATCAAGAGGCAGCGTCCAGCCATTCATTCATTTCTGCGTAAGCCATGCGGAAGCGCTGCTCTAGCGTCTTGTGCGAGGTGGTCTGCAGAGGCTTGAAGTCAAGTGGGCTGAGGTGGAGTTAGCGCAGCCATAGCTGCTTGTAGTTAATGGTAGTTGGCGGCCAAAGCTGCCATAGCTAGTGATAGGTGGTATTGAAAGTGGGTGTGTGTGTGTGTGAGCAGAGTTTGCGTGCGTGGGATATTCAGGGAGATCCAGAGGATGTGTGAACAGTTGGGTGAACACAGTGTTGGTCAGAGAATGTGAGGGCGCTCAGGGCCCATAGCCAGTTGGAAGTGAGTTTGTATCTGAACTGTGTTCTCGAATTGATTATCTCTGAGCTTTGTGTGGGCGCACAGCGCCAGTGTGAATGGCAATCTGTTTGCATGTATGCGAAGTGAAGAAGAAAGTGAGTCTGATTGCAGTCGCAAACAATTATAATTTAAACGGAAAACTATGCAGCGGTCACAAAAAGAGTTTGAAAATACGCTTTGGGCAAAAGAGAATTTCGAATTTTTTGAATTGCACTTCGGGCAATGAATGCAAGCTAGCTTTCCGGCCAGGTAGGGTTACGTGGGGGTGTGTTGTGTTCGCAGGAATTTCTGAAGTGTAATTTCAAACTGTTTTTGTGACTGCACTGAAGTTGCCCCTAATTTAAAATATACCACTGAAGATCACCACGCCCGCTGTTTGGAGGACACAGCATCAGGCTTCATGGACTGCCCTTGTTTGGAAAACAAAACCTCAGGTTTCATGTTCCTTGGATTTACAAAGTCAGTACAACCGCTGCACCAGTTTCCCAAGTCTGCACCTGGATGGAATCATGGAACAATACAGCTGTGCTATGTGCGCCCAGAGCTTGGAAAACGAAACATCAGGCTGAAACGCCAGTATAACGACTGTACCAGGCTCACGAGTCGGCATGTCACATACTAGGTATCCACACGGGCCTGCAGGGGCCGTAGGCCCTGTGTCATTTCAGCCTGAAAGCCTGAAAACAAGGGCCTACAGGCCCTGTGTCGTTTTCAGCCTGAAAGCCTGAAGACAAGGGCCTACAGGCCCTGTGTCGTTTCAGCCTGAAAGCCTGAAAACAAGGGCCTACAGGCCCTGTGCCGTTTCAGCCTTAAAAAAGGGCCCTCCAGGCCCTGAGTCTTTTCAGCCTGAAACGGAGGGCCATTTTTAGGCCCTCGTAAGATCGACCGGGCCTGAAACTTAGGCACCAGACCAGCGTTTTAGCAAGGCCATTTTGGGCCTGTTTTCAAGACAACCTTTGTTTGAACTTCAATGCCAGGGTCTGGCACGTTTTGGCATTGGCAAGAGCTGCTGGCCCGCCCTGCAGGCTGCAGGCAGTTCACGGGCACTTCACGTGCAGTTCAGGAGGCAGGAGGCAGTCTTCAGGATTTGGCAGCAGCACGCTGCAGGAGCGCTGCAGCAGTAGTAGCTCGCAGTAGTCTTCAGCACTGGGCGTTGTTAGGAGCTTAGAGTAGCATTGGAGAGAGAGAGAGTAGGCGGAGGCCAGGGAGACTTACCTGTGGCGCCATAGCTCCAGCTTCATCTTCGATGTACCTGCAAAAGGTGCCACCTTCACAGGTCAGTACTTGGCACAAGACAGACACAGAGAGAAAGAGAGACAGACACAGAGAGAGAGAGAGAGAGAGAGAGAGAGAGAGAGAGAGAGAGAGAGAGAGAGAGAGAGAGAGAGAGAGAGAG